ATCCTACCATCGGCCATATCCACCCGGTCACGCTGGGTTGACCGCACACGTATACATGTATTCAGACTCGCTTGCACTCACGTAAACCTATACATAATACAGGATTGTTCAGGAATCACTCACTCTCTAATTCTTTCGGCTTTTTTAATTTATCATAATTTTTCTTGGCAAAAGATTGCTTGAAATTGTTAGCTCTATAATTGTTAACATTTATTGCGAATGTTTGCTCATGTGATAGTACAATATCTAATGTATTTATTTATGGTTTAAAAAGGTGCATAACTTCTGAGGCATCCTGTACACATACACTCATGTATGTATGTGTCCGAGACTGATACTGGGGCTGCGAGTTTCGTTTCATCCTACTTGTTGGATAGGGTCTTTGGAGTAGCCAGAGGAAAGGACTTCCTCCTTTCTCTTCCTTCCTTCCTTCCTTCCTTCCTTCCTTCCTTCCTTCCTTCCTTTCTTCTTTCCTTCTTTACTTCTTTCTTTCACCCCCTTCTCATCTTCTCTCCTTTTCTTCGAAACGCGTGGGGGATTGTTTGTACTCACCTCTCTTCCCATCGCTTCACCTTAGTCCTTCGGTTCTACGCCCCGCGGGAACCCGCCACCCCGTCGTCCGAAGCTCAGATTGCTTTTATACCATGGATTGATTGACAATATACTTACGTTAGCCGAGTGGACCGTACAGTTATGGAGACTGCTACACCCTCTCCGTCTTCCTGTTTCCGCCCTGTGCCACCGCCGTTAAAGCGCGACCCTCTTCTGTTCGCTGGAACATCGCCGCGGGATCTTTTTACTCTTTTTTTTTTCCTTTCGTTTCGCTCTTCCTCGTTCATTCACTGTGTGAAAGTAAGCGATTTTCGAAAGATACTATTTTTCGGAAGAAAACAAACAATTTCTTAGACAAGCGTACAATTATACTGTTACATCCGGATGCGCCATGTATGTGTTAATCACATATAATTAATTATTTTTTATTAAAACAATGTGTGTGTTAAAAACGATAATATTAATCTGATAACTTCGTACAGGGCGAAAACAGTTTTAAAATGTGTGTTAAAAGAATTTTTTTTATAACATAAACTATAGAAATCAAAGCCTTAAACGGTCTAGCTGGATCTTAATGCTTGTATGATTCTTATGTGAATTTATATATTACGTATGTAGTTCTCAGAAACGCGCGCCGAAATGATTTTTCGGTCTTGAAACGCTAACTCTAATTAACTACCGCAGTAATATCACGAGTTAAATTGACTTGCAATTATGTTATTACTTGAATTTTTTTATGTTATTACGAATGGAGTTTTTATTAGAATTTAGATAAGAATGATTTAATATGTTGGTCTTATTTGTTTATCAGTATTATTATAATTATGATTGGAGTACTTTATCTTAATCTTTATCTTGTTATATAATTAGTGTTGTACAGCTTATTAATTCTTTTTTCAATAAGAATGCTATTTCTTGGAACGTAATATATTTATCGGATTTATTTTTCATGATTCTTTTGGTATTGTCTTTTGTATCCTTCGTATTGTAAATCTGTCATATGTATGCCGAAACTGATTGTTACGAATTGCATCAGACCAAAGGCGAGGCTAAGACAAAGTATGCCCTGGTGAATATTCTTTTGTACGATCTGCGACGTAAAAGATTATATCTCATAAATTCATAAGCATTCCGAGTGATGACATGAATTTTCGGGGATAAGTGTTTCTTCCTCTACGTTCCAACATCTGTTGTGTTAGATCTTTTTTTGACAAAGAAATAGATGCAAAATATTTTTTGAATGTATTGAACATTTGAAAAAAATTTATTATCAAGATGTTCACCTTTCGTAAATGTATACATTTTTACATGTGCGCGATAGATATTTCTTAAAAATATTCAGCAGTGAGAATTCTAATTTTTAGCAAAATATAGTGTGGAAAGCGTTAATACATAATTACAGCAAATAATACAATTAATCGATAAAGCGATTTTTGTGATCCTTAAGCCTCTATAATTGCGTAAGCATAGTCCAGAATTGTGTGATCAATTACAGTAGAATATTCTTCTCGTATTCGGCTGTGATTGGTGAATATTTACAACTACAACCGCTTACAACTACGATTACGCAATTGTAGAATAAGTTTTAACTCGATTAATCATATTGCAATAAAAAGATAGTTATTATCGCGTTCTAGTAATATTTTTGACATTAATAAAACTATGATTTGTGTGTATGTGTGTATGTATGGGCATTACGTAGTACGAAAAGTTTGTCGGCTGCACTAGACGACTTGGGACTTGTTCGGAGTACGTTTGAAGTCCGAAAGTAACCCTGCCATTCTTCGGTAGGGTAGCACTATTCAATGAATTCAGAATGCGTTTGGAGAGTCTCCAGCTCCTTCTTTGCCCACCCCTTTTTCCAGTAAAGACGTATGAATCGTCGTCGGATGGTTGCGGTTCTCTGAGCGTGGGACACTTTAGAGCTTATGTCCCCAGAATACGTAACGTGGGATTTCGGTGGCGCATTCTTTCTCATCCCTCTGCCAACCTTCGTTCGTTCTACCTTTTATTTCATCGGGATTCTTTTAGACATTTTGGATATTAAAATCATCTTTCTCTCTTATGCAAGCACGCCACATTTATCAGATGATTTACGATTATATTTCGGATAAGTTTTTATGTATATATCGTGTCTGAAAATTACATAGGTTTTTAATAAATTAGATTGTTATTATTGAGAATAGATGAAAACTGCCTGACAGAATATTTCACTGTATTAATGTAAAAATATAGGTATAATTTCTATCTATACATTACATAGGATGTAACGAATATTTTACTTAGATGTTTTTAACAATAGTTTATGTTAAATTAGAAAGCGATATTTTGTCGATCATTTCTGATTGTAACAAAACATAATTAGGTTTATTGGATTGTGTCGTCGCAAACAAAAATGGGATGCATCGGCCGCCTAAACTGCGCTTTACGACTGGCAGCCATAAAACGTAATGCAAAACGTTTACAAACCAACGCCCCTCGTACATAAATTTACGCATCATAAGATTTCGGATTCGCAAATGCATCTGATACGTATTGTTTAAAAACCAATTATTTTATCGTGTAACTTTGGAATAGAAATTAAAAATTTCTCAGTGCATAGTGTATTGTGATTGATCTTTATGAATGTGTGCATTCTAGCTCTTTTTTTGGATTTCATGTTATAGCATGCTGCATATATTGATGCCAATTTAATAACCAATTACCTTCTTAATTATTGTTTTGTACATCTTCTTTTACTATTGCTATTATTTGTTTACTTTTTCTTATTTTTCTTATGACGCCATTAGGAACTTTTATATATGTTAGGAACTTATTATAAATTTAATTTAATATAATTTATTTTTTTAGAATTAATAAATTTTATATTGATGACAGTTATTCTATCGACAATAATATTCACCGATAAAACCTGGTGTGTGGTGCATGCTCTTTAGTTTTGTTGTTAATATAATTTATTATTACATGTTTATATAAAATACATTATTCAATAGAGATATATAATAATAATAATTTATGGTATAACGATATCCAATATATGTGTTGATTGAGACGCTAAAAGTCCGTCATATACTCTAGGAAATTAGTCACCGTACTCGTCGAAGGAATATACCTACAAACCCGGTCTTCTTTTTCTATCACCACACCCCTGCTGATCGCTTTTCTTTCTTCGGTTAAGGGTGGCGTTGCCTCAACCCCGCCCTGATCCGTAAATATTGGCGACCCCGTAACAGCTCCTCGTAAAAATCACTTGATTACAACCCCTCCCTTCATCACCCAAACATCGTTCATCAGAGAAGAACTGCAATGAAAAATAAATGCTCGTGCTTCTTTTTATAATTATCTAAAATATAGAAAAAATTATTTTATTCTTGTATAATTATAATCATATAATTTTAATCATAATAAAAACTGGGAATTTTTTAATTTAATTCTATCATTTTTAATTTTTGAAATAATTTGAAATAAATGATCATAATTAGATTTAATAATCAGGTGAATTTGACGAATAATATGAAATGATGATTACGAAGAAAACGTTTTTTTTTTTCGCTTCATAATTGAAAAACGACTTAGAGAATAGCGTAATGGGAAGGAAGATTAAGAGATCAATATTTTGGCGTTTCATTTATCATAGAAACAAGATGAATTAATTTTCGACGTGATGAGAGAGCGGTTTTATGATTTTTATAAAAGTCGTAAAGAGAATTGAGATTGAGATTGAGAGAGAGAGGGGAAGGGGGATGGAGGGAGAGGGGGGGGGGAGAGAGGAGACAAGTTGGCGAATTTAAACACATTTAATTATATTGTTTAATCATTAATTATAAATCCTGTACAAAGTTCACAAATATCAGCCCCATTTTATCAAAATTGTGCTCTTCTGCTCTCACATACCGGTGAAAAAATTATTTACCGTATTCAATACTTTTTACTTTACTTTTTATGAGAATTGTGCGTGTCACTATAGTTTGATAACGTATATTGCGTTACCTACGATATTTTTTTCGGACGTAATAACAGCGCATAGCCGCTAGCCGCGCAACGCGTCACCCTCGATATTTCAATAGGCTGAAACTCGATACGATCTGATCGATAGTTCGTCCATATTGTTGCCACGGGGTGGGAACACTGGGAACGTGCCATGTATATCGTTACGTTATGTAACCTGTTAAGTGGCTTGATGTTGTTACGGATTTTAGAGATTATCGCGTACACATCGACGGATAAATCTCGCTGCATTCCGTAATTTTATGTATTGCGGCCCTTTAATTCGCTATTTATTTGTATTGTTGTGATGTGCATTAATTCACAACAACGATTATCATTTGTCTCAACAATATTATGAAAGCTCATATTTTATCATCTACTAATTTCATGACGGGCACTTTCCTCACTTCTGATATTTTTTGACGTGTGTGTCTAAACCATACGTGTGGTTTTTGTTTCAGATTTTTCTACTTGTATCACTTCTCTTTCTACGCATATCATTATCGATTTAACGGACAGTACAGCAGTTTGGCGCTGGTCACATCTTGGCTCTTTATACAGGTGAGTATATTTTGTTCATTTCATTACGCGTTCGAGAATGAAAAATGGATAGAAGCTGCATTGATTTTAAATCTTTACTTAACTTTGAAAGATGTGTCTTGATACGATCGCGTAAAGTATGATCAACGAAGAACGCGGTCAGAAATAAATTGTTTGATGAAAGTATGCGAATATAAGTACTTGGTAAGGCACAAGTATTTATGCGGTGTATTTTGGGATTAAAGTGGCGCGCCGTCGGATTGTGAAATAATCGTCTTCGCGATAAAAAAACTTCTACGGGAATAGAAAAGTTTTCTCAAGAAAAATTGCTCTTTTGCATTGAAACGGACATTGATCACGAATATTCCGTGACCTACTTGTGAGGATTTTAGCCGATACAGTTGGCCTAGCAAGGAGTAGCAAGGAAAAAAATTTTTCAACAATCGAGCTGTCTAAAAATTATATCATAGATATATACTTTTGGCAATCCTTTCGGGATATATATATATATAGGCATTTCACATGTAAAACGTAGAATATTATTAATTAAATGATATTTGATTTTTAGATCGATAAACGATCACTAATAAATTTAAGGCTCTATTTATCTCTGAATAATTTATTCAAAACAATTGTACCAAGTACTGGGAAGTAAGAATAAATGAAAATCTATCAACATAAAAAAAGTGAAAAATTTTATATTGCTGTACTTTCCAGTATAAATCACATTTGAATTGAAATATTAAAGAGAGAATGCCGTAGATATAGATTATTGTCCATGTGGTTTCCATAAGGTAAAATAAACGTACGCCTGCAACATTAATCTTTTTCATTGTTTCTATATAGTGTTAATTAATATTAAAAATATAAAATTTTACCGTATCAAAAAATATATGCTGAAAGTTCATGAAAGAAATGTTGAAATAATTGAAAAAATATGCTGTTTATTTAAAAATCTTTATATTTAATTCTCCAAGACTGAATAACATTAATTTAATACGATTAAATCACAGCATTTATTGTAAATAACGTAGTTATATATACAGTAATCGTGTGTGTATATGGAATATTTTGGTTATCGATTATTGTAATTATATGCCGAAGCCGAAGCCGAACCCGTATAAAGAATAGAACGTGAGAGTCAGGTTTGTGACGCGAGTTTGCACTTCCGCCTCTAAGAATCGCGTCGAAATAGATGAGGGAAAATGGGAGCGTAATATTTTGCATGCGATCTTGTCGGCTACCGTTGGGAGTCCTGCGATTGACAGCAACCGTAGCAGGACGAAGAACGAGCCGTGCCATGGCCGTGGTCGCTTGGCTGGATAGCCTAAAGCCGCTATCGCTCAAACTTAAGTTACGTAAACGCAACCGGGACAATGCTCTTGACAGCTCGATCGATAGAAATAATTTAATGCGGCTTCTTGGTTCCCATATACAAATACGCATAAGGATACTTTAACACGGGAATCTTGTTCTCTATATATCGAGAAGGGCGTGTCCCGTTTCTTCCATTAAGAACGTAATCCGTTTTAAGTAATCGTTAGTGAGATATTGTCATTTTCCATTGGCTGTATTCCATTAGGAAATATTATATATATACGCTCTTGTCCTTAAATTTTTGCTGATTTGCAATTTTCGGATTATCTTAGTAATCATACTATACTCTATTGTTTTCTATGCGCGAGCGTAAAATGAATTATTAATGCTTTCGTTTGTTATCAGTACATTGTATCACATTCGCGGTAAAATTTATATACTGCAGATCTTTTGCTTTTTGTATTTTACGTAATTTGACGTAGTTATTGGTTATAATTGTACGTTTCTCTCTACATTTAAGTGAAGTTACAACAAACGATCGATCGTAATAGAACATTTGCTATAAGCCGCTGGAATTTTAGAAACAAATTTGCCTGCTATGCCAATAATACGGTGGGTAATCTGATTGGAGAGCGTACTTTGATAACGCAATAACTTATAATTAGATGATCGCGATGGCCGTATTAACAGGTATTATTATAACGGCGTTACGATAGATAGCCGCTACGTTAATAACTACATTCGATATGTACTGTGTACATTTCATGCGTAAAAACTGAATACCATTAAAGTTTAATGGAGTGGTTAATTCACTCGATAAAAGGTGTAAATGCATCACGATGCTGCATCATTACGCGCTGGGGGAAAAGATTACATTATTATGTCGTATTCGCCATTCAATTGTTGAACACATTTATTACACGATCATTTTTAGAATTATTATAGTCTATTTTAACGAAGACTCTTATCGAGGTGCAATAATTTCGATGAAATTAATATACATTCTAAATGTGAAGTGTGTTGTATGAAAAATTGCAATTCTTATTATTGCTATAAAATAAATTAATAGTTATTTCCAAACATAATCCATATAAAATGTATTTCGAATATTTCAGGCTATATCTCTTAAAATTTAAGATTAGCGTTCAATGTCGTTGTCACAATAAGCATTGCCTGTTATTACATATTATATGATCATTATAACATAGTGTAATTTAATTCAGTTTTCTTTGTTTTATGATAAAAGGTTATCGAATGTATATGTATGTATGTACTATATGTGACATAGCAATTTCTCTTCTTATAAGCACATAGATAAACACATAAATAATATATACGGCACATTTGAGAACGTAATCGAATATGCTTTACAAGTAGAGTGCGACTTAAGCCATTACGTCGATGATGACAGTCTTTGCTCGACAGGCGGATTACGGGTTCGTTAACATGATCGACGGCTTAACGAGCGACAATTATTTCCTGGGAACGAGTTGACGAATACCGCGCAACGGTAAAATTCGAAAAGCCCGGGGGCACGTCGGCCGAGAATCGTTTTGATTCCCGGATGGCAAAGCTCTCGTCGGCTGTTGCTGTAGGTCAGAGTTCAGCCGATTAACCCCGCGGCGTGATTATACGTCGATTCGATATCGATGTCATTGGCGTTGATTATCCGCCAAACGAAAACTTGATATACTCGGATCCCGCTCTCGTTCCCGCAATCGCTCCTACACTCCACTCTCCGTCATTCTTTCCTATCCACCTTGAGAGCCACTCCCGCTCTTCACTCCCAATCTTTCTATCAGTCTTCTTTTTCTCAAACAGTGCGGAATCGTTCCGCTCTTGCCGACGAATCACCGAGAATACCATTTCCTCCGCGTCGTTGACAGGTGCCCAGACCCCGAGATATCTATTTTCCATATCCAGGATTTTTCTTCTCGCTCATCCGCTCGTCACCTTCGCCCTCCTACATACGTCTATGTATTATTTGTTCATGTTAGATTTTTCTGAAAATATTTGAAAAGAGAAAGCATCGAAATAAATACACTTCTCATTGGCACACTTTGTTACATCTCAATTCCAATTGCACGAGGTTCGTCGCTCCGTTTAATCAAGAGACGTTCTTAAACTATCTAATGAAGCAATAGGCTATTTTTAGGAATAGAGAATTTGATTCCGTGGCATGCGTGAAGAGAAGCTGCGTTATTGCGATCGTTACGATCAATACGGATCGGTAGAGACAAGGTTCGAAGCGATTGCGGAGAAAGAGAGCGCTGATATAGAACGAATTTGGCGAATTTCCATATAAATTTGCTAGGCGCGAGCGACTCACATACACCGAGAACGAACACCACGAGTGTGATAGATCCACGTGTGCCGCGAGATGAATTCTTGCTTTTTGTTTCTCCAACAATGCCCGACATAGACTCGCGAGGAATGGCGAATTCTTGTGGCGACATACAAAGGGACAAAACTCTATGCGTATTACACAAATATTGTGTTTTTTTATTTATTGTTTCAGCACTCAATGTTATATTTCTTTCATCACTATGAGCTACCAGTGATACTGCAACAGGCGCAGCTTCAGCAATTGCTATTTCGTAATCATATTCAGCCTCAGGCACAGCCAGCGACGCCCAGCACGGCCCCGACTACCCCGGGGCCAGGATCGCCGTCGTCGTCATCGTCACCGTCAGCGGCACCTTCACCTTCGTCGAGTCCGAATCCGTCGACACCTACGACGGAACAGACGCAGCAAAACTATATTACCGAGCTTTCTCAGCTCGATTTAGAACCTAGCAATGCAGAAGCACAACATACGAATGCGGATACTACGCAACAAACATCCGTGGCAACGGCGGCTGATCGTCGAGATAATTCTGTTCGAGGTACGTCATGATTTTAATATTTTTATCTGTTGACGTTATTTTTCGTTGAACCACCGGCTAAGAAATGATACTAAAAAATGTGATAAAAAAATTTGATTTAAATTTAATTAAGGTAAACGTACGTCCCAGTGACCGGACATGTGACCGGAGACCAGGGCTGGTTGTCGTACGGGGTTGATTGTCAAAATGCTTATAACTCAAACAAGACACGGCAGAAAAATCTCTTTTTTTGACTGTAGATAGACTGATATAATATTAATTTGTTGTGTAAAATGGTTTACACCACAAGCATTGTATATATTATTTATAGCAATTTTTGAAAAAACGAAGTTGGTGAGTAAATTTTTATAATCACCTATTTTGTTGTCTAACAAGTCTTTGGCATTATTAATCCCTAATATCCGTAATATCCCTGTATTCATAGAAAATGACATATCTTAGAAGATCTTTGCTACAATTAAGTAATCATTATTCTGATTAAGTTTGTGAATACAATCTCTTTTATTAAAAATTGCTATGTGATGGATGTAGATTGACCAAAACGAGACGAGGTTAGGTGACAATTAATTTTAATATCTTTAGAGGACACATTTTCAGAGAATATACTTGCAAATATATTATATTTCGTATAGATATATGTTTTTTCATTTTTCATATAGAATATGGTACAAAAACAAATTACGTATTTTATGATTAAAATAACTATTTTATTTGT